TCTGTGGCTGTTTTGGCTAACAGAGCTACAGAGCTTGTGGAACGCCACCACATGCTGACTACTTTTTAAGAACTTGAGCTGTGGTGCACCCAACTTCCCGCTCCCCAGCACAAATAATTCATGACGTTCCATGTTTTCCTTATAGAATGATTTGGGATCTTTGATGGGCAGACCTGTCTTTTTAAAAGTGTGCCAAGGACCATACTAACAAGGGATAGCAGATAGACAAACTGGAAAATATACTTCAGACTGGCCTTACTGTTTTCCTGTTTCCTGACTGCAAGGTCCGCTGTAGTCACAATATGTTCATACCAGGGAGTTTTTATAAACAAAAATGTCACCTATTATACTGAATCACACATCACATAGGATTAATTGATTATGTAGCACAATACATTTTCAACATGGTTTACAAACATGGCTTAGATAAGGTTAATTCTCCCTGATCTTATGGGAACACGGTGACAGATAAGTTTGAGAGGTCACCATATGTGTAATGGAGCCATCAGGGGCAAGTTACTGGGAGATGGCAGAAAGAGACTTCAGGAGAGGTAATAAGATGAAAGGAAGTTTAGTGTTACTGCTTATTCAGAGCGTTGTAAGCAAATAACAAAAGAGGTGGAAGGCTGTGGGGTGAACCCTCAGCTCTCAATTTTCTCTGGGGTTTCTATGAAAATTGTATCTAGCCATATGATTATTAGTAATACATTTTTTATCACATGGTAGCTGAAAGACCACAGTGAGCACTGGAGCCACATTGTGCTAGGTGCTGTGCAAACAGAAAAGCGACAGTCCTCATCCTGAAGGGGTACAGGATAAAGGCAAGACTTGTTAGTGGTTGCAAGTGTGTATGTGGTGCCTTGTACTTGGGCATATTAGTGACTCCTTTCATGGAGAAGTCTCTTATGATGCAATTTTCATTGCAATGCAAAATATTCTGGGTTTCTCAAATGTCACCCTTACTGTGGCCCACTTCACTTATTTGTAAAGCTCATGTAACTTTTTCTTTTTTATAACTAAAAAGCCTCAGTGCTCCTAAACACTATATGCAGCTCTTCATCTGTAATAAGTGTGTAACAGGTATGCATGTGGCACATTAAAGTGTTCATGCATGTATGTGGTAGTACAGCCCCTTCAGGCTGCAGCTGTTGTGGGGATACATGGCCAGAGTTGGTTGTTTGGGTTTTCCATTCCCTCCAGTGGAGCAGTGCGCACATGCTCTGTTGGAGAGAACGTGGTGAGAATTTTTGTACATTGTACATTTGTGCCAGGGTCCTCACATGCGAGGCCTTGGAGGAAGATTCACAGTTCCCACTGCATCTCTAGTGGCCTCATTTCCTGCCTCACAATCTTCATTCCTTCCATTTGTCTTTGGCAGATAATGCGACTGAAGACAATTGTGGCGCAGAAGAAGAAGCTAATGAAGGAAGGGAAATATACACCGCCTGAGTACCACAGTGGCAAAGAGGAGGCCAGGCCTTGATCAGCTGTTGGTGACGCTGTCTCCCTGCCAGCAGAGCTAACCATCCACCACCTTTTGTGTGTGTGTTGCAGGCATGAAACAGTTCAGTAAAAGTTAGCCCAGTTATGCCCCATGTGGAATTGTTCTGTTGCTGGCTGTGTTTCTTGCAGGCCAGCCCTGGTGCCAGTGTCTGTAATGGATCAGTTCAGAAATTAAATTAAATATCTCCTTTGGAACCTTTCTCTTTGCTCTGTCTTGGTTTTCCCGAGGAGCGGCGTATGGTTTAGTATCCCAAGTTTGAGAGGGATCTTGGCACTAGAGCAGCACGCAAATGCATTGTAAAATCTCTTGTAGTGACAGTTGGGGCATGATCTTCAAAGACTTAAGCTGTCTGCCATGCTCAACGCTCCTGGAAATCAGGCTGAATCTAGCTGCCTTCCCTTCATTACTTCCGTGTTGTTTAAAAGCCCCTGCCCCACATCTTAATGTAGCATCAACTAGGTGGTCTGGTCACATCTGTGATTCCAGAGGATTGTTATCTATCATCAACATTATTCTCTTTGGAACATCTTTACAGCTGTATCCCATACTCGTAGTTCTACCAGAAAGCTTCAGTGCTCAAATCAGAAACTCAGTCCAATAAGTCATATTTGGAACTTCCTTTAAAGTTCAGCACTTTGGATCCTGATCTCTGAGGCAGGTTTGTATCTCTGCTTTCTCCATGTGCTGTTAATTGGCCACAGCAGGGGGAGCAGGAGTAGAAATTTAGAATCAGAAGGAATCTGAAAGATTGCTCATTGTCTTGTTTCTACATAACATAAGAACGACCACACTGGGTCAAACCAAAGGTCCATCTAGCCCAGTATCTTGTCTGCCAATAATGGCCAATACCAGATGCCCCAGAGGGAGGGAACACAACAGGTAATTCTCATGTGATCCCTCTCCTGTCACTCAGGGTATGTCTGGAGTACATAGTTCCGTTGACGGAACCATGTAGATGAGTTTACTAGACATAGGAAAATTAAGTGGCGATTTAAATAATTGCCACTTCATTTACATCAAAATGGCCACCGTGCTGTGCCAATCAGCTGTTTGGTAGCACAGCGGGGCAGTCTGGACGCGCTGCAGTTGACAGGTGAAGCCTTTGTCGACCGCTCTGTTATGCCTTGTGAAATGAACCCTGTTAAAGTCCTAGTCTTTACCACATCCTCTGGCAAGGAGTTCCACAGGTTGGCTGTGTGCTGAGTGTAGAAATACTTCCTTTTGTTTGTTTTAAATCTGCTGCCAATTAATTTCATTTGATGACCCCCTAGTTCAGTGGTCCCCAACCTTTTGGGGATGCCAGGGGCGGGGGCATTCATGCACCACGCGCCCAGGGCGCAAGAATGGCTTGGGCCAGCCCTGGTCACTAAGTGGGTACACATAAATGCCCTGGCAGGTGCTATGGCACCCGCGAGCACTGCTTTGGGGACCACTGCCCTAGTTCTTATATTGTGGGAATAAGTAAATAACTTTTCCTTATTCACTTTTTCCACACTAGTCATGATTTTATAAACCTCTATCCTATCCCCCCTTAGTCTCCTCTTTTCTAAGATGAAAAATCCTAATCTTTTAAATCTCTCTTCATATGGGACCTGTTCCAAACCCCTGATCATTTTTGCTGCCCTTTTGTGAACCTTTTCTAATGCCAGGATACCATTTTGAGATGAGGTGACCACATCTGTACGCAATATTCAAGATGTGGACATACCATGGTTTTATATAGAGACAATAAGATGTTCTATCGTATTCTCAATCCCTTTTTTTAATGATTCCTAACATTGTTTGCTTTTTTGACTGCCGCTGCATACCGAGTGAGTGTTTTCAGAGAACTATCTACAATGACTCCAAGATCCCTCTCTTGGGTAGTTGTAGGTAAATTAGACCCCATCATCTTGTGTCCTCAAAAAGCTGGAATGCGAAGCCAAACTTCCAAGCCAAGCTTCTGTAAGTCAGGGGTGGGTGGATGGATGTGTGTACACACACTGAAGTATCCAAAATATGTAATGGGGCAACAGTTCACTCACAGCCTGCTCAGTCACTTCATGTGCTAGGAGATCATTATATATGATGGACATCTCCGGGAACCTAGAACATTCAAACTGGGTGATAGACCTTCATGGTAAAATACAACATGCAGGAAGTGTTTGGTTACAGTGAAGAGGCAGCATGGGTGAGGTGATCTGTTTTACCAGTGTAGATTTCCTCCTGGCTTATCACCTTCAATGATCTGATTTTTTTTTTTTTCTCAGTAGCAATAAACTTTGCTTTTAAAACTTCGCTTGTATGGCAGTCTGGTCAACCTGAAGAAGAGTTCCATGGTGCTTGAAAGCTTGTCTCTTTCACCATCAGTAGTTGGTTCAATAAAAGGTATTACCTCTTCTCCCCCACCCCCACTCCCGCCCACTCTTGTCTCCTATCCTGGGACCGATACAACTGTAAGTCCAATCAGTTGTGAGCTTTCACTTTGTGTTCTGGCTCGGACTGCCTCGGTGTTTGTGTCAATTCTGCTTTCTATGGGTACGTCTAGACTACATGCCTCTGTGGCCAGAGGCATGTAGATTAGGCTACCAGGCATAGGAAAATGAAGCGGCGATTTAAATAATCGCCGCTTCATTTACATTTACATGGCTGCCGCGCTGAGCCGATCAGCTGTTTGTCGGCTCAGCGCGATTTGTCGACCACCCAGGTAAACCTCATCCCAGGAGGCATACCTGGATGGTCGACTGTGACGGCGCGTTGGGGGTTCCCCGTCTCCTGCACCCCGAAATGGCACAAACAGACTGCACCAGCCAG